CGCCGGAGGGGAGGGGAGGGGAGGCAACGGTAACACTGACTATTTGTAGATTTGAAACAGGGGGGAGGGGGTTAGGGTTTGGCGGTGTTGTGGGGAATGAAATCGGCCTAATCGGGGTCTCTGTCTGGTCTGTCAGAGGAGCCGCGGTGGTGAAGGAACCCGTGTAAAGCAGAAACATTCGGTTCGGTGGATCACGAGTCGTGGGGTGGAGGAGGGGCGCCGCCGTGCTTGGAACCTGGATCCGAGTGAAGTCTGTTTTAAACCTTGAGATTGTAGAGCCGAATCTCTACCCGAATCTCTCTATGGCGATAGCTCTGTCTTCATGCATCGTGACGGGCTAGCTGCAGGGCATGCCGCGGTGCATCTGTCCATTGAGCCGCCACGGTTGAGACGAGGCCTTCGGCGAGGAGCGCGTATAGGACCTCCCCGCGGCCGGCCGTAGTAGGTAATACGGAGGACAAGCTCCAACAGGGACACGCTCACGCGGGTTGCCGGTGGCGCAAAGCTGGGTGCCTTGATAAGCAGTAGCTAAACTATCTAGCACCAAACGCTCATAGTACGTGCTAGGCAACTTAATCGATCTTGGCTTGATGATATGATCGAATCTGTGCACAACGCAGACACGCCACCATCACCTGCGACGCCTGCTGCGGGGGTTTCACGGGGACCAGCGTGTGGCCGCTCGGGATGGGCAGAGCTCGTCCATGGCGCTGTTCGTCTGCAGCTGATCCCGTCTCTTGGCCGCCCCCGGCACTGCGCAAGCAAGGATACGACTGCAAGCCCGTCTTCGCGTGGCACTTGCTCGGCTCCGGCACCGTGATGCCCATGGCAATTGACAATGCTGAGGGTGAACACCTGCCGCGACGCCATTATCCGTCGATGACCCGTGAGGCGCGCCTCGCTGTTCCGCCGTGTTGGTGGCGTTCAGGTGCCTGCGCTGATTTCAGGAGAGAGAGAGAGGGGAGCAGTTGGGAATGAAGGATGGATCTGACATGTGGGATAAGGGTGTAAGTGGGAGGTAGACTTTAATCCCGGTCGGGATGTTTCTTTTCCCAGTGCGCCAAACTGGTCCAGGGTCCAGATTGACCGGGATAAGTGACTAGAGGGTACATATTTCAGGGATTTAAAGATGAGGGTTCAATTCCGACAAGCAATACAACTTCAAGGTTTAAAATGGACTTCACCCCCTGGATCTTGGTAGGCACAGAGGCTCGCGCTCGCGCAGACGGTCGGCGGCCGGTGAGAAGGCGAGGAAAGAGACGGCCAACGTGCCAGGCGCCGGCGGCCGTCGGGAGTAGGCGTCGGGGTGCGGGAGGAGATGCGGTGGGGGCGGCTCGCGGCTGAGTGGGGTTGGGGGTGTCGAAAGATCGAGTCGGGGAAGTTGCGTTGCGTGGAAAAACAAATTAAAAATATTTTTTATTAATAACAAATTCCGAAAATACATGCCCTAGTTTGAGAAAATCAAAACTATGACCCCAGCGGCCTCACTCACGGGGAACGGCCTGTTTTCGGTCACGCTTAGGCCGAAGTGTCACTCTTCGACCGCGCTTAGACCCAAGGATTCATGTGCATGATGATCTTTTGTTGATGTACATATTGTTTGCGAGAAGGATTCATGAATGTGAAGATACACTTCCTTTTATCTACATCATTTGCTCTGATGCATATAGTCTAAGATAAATATAGGACGCGTTTGGTTGACTGCATACACCTCGATCAGGCCCGCGCGGAAAGAATCCGGCCTGTTTGGTTGCATGTATACACTGTTGGGTCTGCATAGCACGGAACTTAAAAGCACCTCTCACTAGTAGAAAAAGGGTCTAATGTGCAGCTCATTAGTTCCGGTTTGAAATTGAGCCGGCATTAATGTGTCCAACGGCTAGGCTGGCCGCTCTCAGTAGTATCGGTCCGTGGCGAACCTTTAGCACCGTTTCGTGCCACAAACCAAAGAGAGTGATGGCAGGATGTTGTCAGACTGGGGCCCCTCCAGCACCTTTAGTACCGGTTCGTGCCACACGAACCGGTACTACAGGTCATCCTACATATAAACCCTTCGTCCAGCTCGCTCTGTTCTTCCCCCTTTCCCCTCTCATCTCTGCTCTTCCCCTCTTTCCCTCGAGCTCATCACACATTTTGCCTAAATTTTGTCAAGATTTGAAGGCCCCCATCCATTCAAGTGATCACAAAGGTTAGCAACTTTGTCATTTCATCTCTCATTGCTAGATTAGTTCTTGCAATGCTTTATGTAGTCATTAATTTGTGGGTTTTAGTAATTTGGGAGGAATTAGATGTGGTATTTTATTTGATTTATATGCAATTTGAGCATAAAATAACTCTTAGTTTGCATATGTACGTGTGGTTTACTTAATGCATTCCCGTCTCCATCATAACCACCGTCGATCGTCCGCACCGACCCGTCGCCGGCACCATCTTATGGTGAGCCTCTTGTTCTTATCTTTCTTATATAAAAAAGTCATATTTGTGTGATTTAGATATATAGTTACTTGTATAATTATCCTATCCGTACGTTGTTTGTTATACATAGTGCCATGGTTTTGATATCCGTCCCCGTCGGCCCTCGTCCGTGTTGTGATTCGGATGTGGTATATTCTTTTTTAAAACTATTTGTTGCATTTCGTGTTTATGACGAATTATGCCCATCAAGTTGACATAGATATTTTTATCTAGGAGGTATGTAAACCAGAAATTCCAACCGACCCTATTGTCGAGAGGTTAAATTTAGTTGAAAGAGAAAACGAGTATTTGAAAGAAAAATTAAAAAGAATTGAAGGAGAGAAGATGGAATTGGAGTTGCATGTTGCCGATGTCGTCGATGATCACAAGATCAAGATGGAGAAAATGCGGTTAAAGATTAGAAAGATTAGAAAATATGTCATTGATAGTGAGCCTTGGTATCATTATGCTGTTGGATCAATTGTTACCTTGTTGCGATCTTGATCGCATTTGTTGTTGCATTTAAATGCTTTAGCTAGAGAGTTATTTGTATGTTGCATTTAAGTGTTGTATGAACTTTATGTATGAACTTGTATTAATTTGGTCTATTCGGTGGTGTGTAATGAAGATGAGCCGGCAATGGATGTACGATGACCGATGCTCTCCCGAGTTCATTGATGGCGTGCATACTTTTCTGATTGCGGCTCAGGCAAACAAGCGGGCGGATGGTTTTATGCCTTGTCTGTGTGCTGGCTGTAAGAATGATCACAATTACTCTAACTCAAGAACCATTCACGTCCACCTGTTTGAGTCCGGTTTCATGCCCCACTATAATGTTGGACCAAGCACGGAGAAAGAGGGGTTATGATGGAAGACAATGAAGAAGAAGAGGACGATGATAGCTATCCTGGCCATGGGTTCCCTGAATATGATGATACAACAATGCGAGAAGAAGCTGAAGAAGAGGCATTAGATGAGCCCGCTGATGCTCTGGGTCGGGTCATTGCCGATGCAAAGAGAAACTGCGCAAGTGAAAAGGAGAAGAAGAAGTTGCAGCGCATTTTAGAGGATCACAAAAAATTGTTGTACCCGAATTGCGAAGCTGACAAGAAAAAGCTGGGCACCACACTGGAATTGCTGCAATGGAAGGCAGAGAATGGTGTATCTGATAAGGGATTTGGAAAGTTGCTGGTAATGATAAAGAATATGCTTCCAAAGGACAACGAATTGCCCGAGAGTACGTACGAAGCAAAGAAGGTTGACTGCCCTCTAGGGTTAGAGGTGCAGAAGATACATGCATCCCCTAATGACTGCATCCTCTATCACGGTGAGTACGAGTATTTGAACGGGTGCCCGGTATGTGGTGCATTGCGCTATAAGATCAGCCGCGATGACCCTGGTGATGTCGAGGGCGAGCGCCCCAGGAAGAAGATTCCTGCCAAGGTGATGTGGTATGCTCCTATAATACCACGGTTGAAATGTTTGTTCCAAAACAAAGAGCATGCCAAGGCGATGCAATGGCACGGAGAAGACCGTAAGAAATACGGAAAGATGAGAGTACCCGCTCATAGGTCGCAGTGGAGAAAAATCGAGAGAAAGTACAGGGAGGAGTTTGCAGGTGACCCAAGGAACGTATGGTTTGGTCTAAGCGCAGATGGCATTAATCCTTTTGGGGAGCGGAGCATCAACCATAGCACCTGGCATGTGACTCTATGTTTGTATAACCTTCCTCCTTGGTTGTGCATGAAGAGGAAGTTCATTATGATGCCAGTGCTCATCCAAGGCCCTAAGCAACCCGACAACGACATAGATGTGTACCTAAGGCCATTAGTTGAAGAACTATTACCGTTGTGGAATGGAAAAGGTGTACGTGCGTGGGATGAGCACAAACAGGATGACCTAAAGGCGTTGTTGTTCGTGACCATCAATGATTGGCCTGCTCTCAGTAACCTTTCAGGACAGACAAACAAGGGATACCGCGGATGCACGCACTGGTCGGATGATGCCGACAGTATATATTTGGATAGTTGTAGGAAGAATGTGTACCTGGGACATCGTCAATTTCTTCCGGGCAGGCATCCCGTAAGAAAGAGAGGCAAGCATTTTAAAGGTGAGACGGATCACCGGACGAAGCCTCGCCACCGTACTGGTGCTGATGTACATGATATGGTCAAGGATTTGAAGATAATCTTTGGAAAGGGTCCTGGCGGAAACCTGTTCCGAAGGACGCTTACGGACACGCACCCATGTGGAAGAAGAAATATATATTTTGGGACCTGCCCTATTGGAAAGACCTAGAGGTCCGCTCCGCAATCGACGTGATGCACATGACGAAGAATCTGTGTGTGACCCTGCTTGGCTTC